AAAAAAGTAAATCAGAGACATATTTATAGTAATTATGCAGGCAAATTTGTCTGCAAATCTCTACCAATTAAGGGATAGTATTACTTATACAGTATTTCTTTTTATATTTTACAGATAATGAAACAATCGAAGAAAATGATAGTGAAATTACAAGTAGTAACTAATTTATTTTTGTTAATTGTTGTTAGTTCTATTATATAATTATAAAACAAATAGGCCCACCACCACCAAAAAAACAAAAATCTCAAGATAAACGACTATTAGACAAAAATGCAACAAAAAAATTAACAAGTTCTTATACGGATATGATTAATTGTGATAATTCTAACCAAGAGTCAATGCAAGATTCATCAAATTTAATACAAGATTTAGCTTTAGATGCTGATAATAATAACATAACAGAGTGAAGATTAACTCTACCTTTACCTATAGATGATGAGAGATTATCTAATAATGAAAGATTGGAAGAACTTGATAGTAAGTAATTAATAAATAGATATTGATAAATAGTTAATTTAAGCATTCTAAATATTAAATAAAAATATTAAAATTAGATAATAATCAAGTATTACAAAAACCTGATAAGCTTCAAGGAATTTCAAGTGAATTTGAAGCAGCTGTTTGGTTGGCCAAACATCCACATATACTTGATTTAGTATTTGAAATGTGGCATGCAATGTCATGAGCCTTGGAAACTTCTCAAAGCACTTCTAACATTTTATCAAGTAATAGAATAATATTGAATACTTCTTTGAATACTTCTTCAGTTTCCGATCAGAAATATATAGGGGTGAGTCAGTAGAAATGTGACAAATTTATTTAATAAATTTGTCCTATTTCTACTGACTCACCCCCATATTTGTTTTTTTTTGGTTTTTTTTTTTGTAATGCTTTAGTTTTTTTTTTATAATGCTTTGTTTTTTTTTCTTTCCAAATTTTAATAGGCAATGATAGCAAATCTTAAATCTAAAGCAAAAACTTTATTTTTGCAAACAAAAAATAATACTCCCACATTTTATACAAAATTAGTATTTGCTATATGTGGTATCTCCAAAGCTGATAAAAAAATACCAGCACTAATTAAAAAAGTTGGTAGCTGTTTTGATGACTATTATTATCATCTTCTTGCAAAGCTTTGAAAGAGAGCTGATGAGTATTTGATTCAATTTAAGTAAGAGTAAAATAAATAAAATAAAAACTAAGCAATTAATAATATTATCTATCAAATTATAGTAATAATATTTCTACTAATGCACAATTACTAGAGTTTATCTCGGAAAATATATGGTGTGAGGTACTATGTCAATTTCTTGAAGCAACAGAACAGCCTGCTCTTCGCTATAATAAAAAAATATAGAACACCTTGGGTAATTTTGTCCATGAAGCAATTAAGAGAATTATTACTTCAAAATTAGAGAAAACTGATATGAAAATAGCACTTCGTAGTTGTGATACAATTACAGTTGACCTGCAAATTCCAACTATACTTGGTATTGTTACTCGATTGTCAGTTCAAGATTTATTAAAATATAAAACTAGTTGACAAAGAAGTAAATAAATATTAATATAGCAGTATTAGTTATATTTGCTATTATAGAAATTAATTATTAAATACTTAATGTTACATCTGCAAGTAATAAATTTCGATTATAATAAATATATTTCTAATTACTATTTAGCACAAATATATTTTTAATATATTAGATTACTTGATCAAATTATTTTTCTTTTGTTATAATGTAAGGATTATATTATTAACAGAATATAATTCAGATTAATAAGCTTTAAGCACAATTATAAATTATAAAAATTCTAGTGCTGTATATAAAATCTAAAAAAAATATATATATAGTATATATGATAAAAACTAAATTGTAAATATAAATATTATTATATTTATAATAAATATCTATTTCTTGTATATATTGATATTATAATTATTTGAATTATGCAATTTTGTATTATAATTTAGATCTGTTACAAATTATTTTTATTTTTATTATTAATATGTACAGATTAATGCCAAATTACCAAATTAAAAATGTATGTACATACCTTATAGAAATAAGCAAGCACTACAGTTTTCATACAGCTTTGTAAAAAAACTTATTCTTAATATATTTTGGATTATTTTGGATAGGTAAAAAATGAATTTTTTGAATACTGTTAATACACGTAATCGGATAAATTCAAAGAAACTATTGATCATTCATTATTTGTTTATAATATGAGCAATCTAAAATTAAATCTTTTGTATTAGTTGCCTGAAGCCATTTTAAGACAAAGAAAATTGTATATTCGGTATTATTTGCTTGGTGTTGTAAAATTGCTTGTATTTTTGTGTATATAAGACCTTCACTCTTCTTTTCAATTTCAATTATATCACCAATATGAAATTTATTGCTGTTTTCAAAATAGTTGAAAATAATAAAAAAATATTTTTTTTAGAGTACACAGTACACACGAGCACACAATTACTTTTTAAAAATTTATATTATAAAATTTTTGCATATTTTATGCACTCCTTGCATAACTATACATATTTTATGCACCTCTTGCATAATTGTGCATATTTTTACATATTTATGCATAAATATACATAATTATACAAGGAGTGCATAAAATATACATGGTTATGCAAGAGGTACATGAAATATGCAAAAGTTATATAATATAAATTTTTAAAAAATAATTGTGTGTTCGTGTGTACTATGTACTCTAAAAAAAATATTTTTTTTATTATTTTCAACTATTTTGAAAACAGCGATAAGTTGATTTGATTTTCTATCATTTTCAATAATAGTATATGAAATATAATCAAAATAATCTAACTTATTATAAAAAAAAACACTTTGAATACTAAAATATTCTAAATATAAAAGTTGTAAATCATGATAAAGAGGATGCTAGCTGCTTAGTTTTGTTAACCATTCTTCATTATTTGTTCTTGTTTTAGACCACTTATTCCATAATACTATGTTTATAAATTTTTTTGGTATTAAATTCAAGATAATGTCAACTTCTTTAATATCATCATTGATCTTTTTAAAGTTTGGATCTATAGTATACTACTTGCAAAGAATTGAATATAGTGAATTGTCTGAAGAAAGATTTAAAAGTTTATTTGCAGTTGTTAGAAAATGATAATCTTTACCACTATCAAATAAGTAAGTTAATACAAATAAAGTATTATATTGTCAAAGAAGATCTAGTTTAAGATTTTTGTAATTAGTATATACCACCATATTTTTGTATATTCTGTACACGATTTCTTTGACTCCAACAGATATATTAACAAGAGTTGCAAAAGTGCGAGCATGTTGTGGCAAATGGATATTTACATAGACATTAGGTAAATTTTCAAATTCATCTGAAAAAATTTTTAATAAGTTGATTTGTTCTTTTTCAAATAAATAGCAAAGCTTCTTATAAGTATTATTTGTCATTGTTGTTGAGAAAGCTAATTTGAGTAGCTTTGCTTCAATAACCCAAAGCTCTAATAGCATGATTATTACGAGTAAGCTGATATATATTTTTTAAATATTCAATTATTTTAGTTTTTAAATGTGAAGATGATAAAAAGTAACGTAGAATAAATAGTATTAATATTGCTAAGTGCAAAGTGTCTGAAAATGTAAAACTTTGATGATAAGTTAGTGGATTTGGCATCTATGACTATCTTGCTAGTTTTTTTATACTTTTCCAACATTTAAGCCAAGCTACTTCTCTATTAGTATTCAAACATCTAAGAGTTATATCTAAAAGACATGCAGCTTTACTAGCAAGTGCATAGTAAGTATCTTGTAGTGTTTGTAAATATCTGTTTTAATAAAGTTTATCAAGAACTGGCTTTTTACTAAGTCCATATTAACTAGATAATTGTCGATGTGCAGAATTTGTTTTTTGCTATACAATTTCATTATATTGTACATGTATTTGAAAGAAAGTCAAATTTAGAATCTATTAGCTGGCTGCTAGATGCAGTACAAGTTCTGCAACTATAGTTTGTATTATGTCGAAGAACACCAGCAAGGTCATTACCTTGTGGTAGGTCAGCTATAACATAGCCAAGTCCGCCTACAATCTATATTTCTCTTTCTAATGTATTTACAATTTTTCCATTTTGTAATTGGTAAATATTATCAAGAATTGGTTTAATATAATCATTAAATGAAGCCCCAAATGAAACAAAGCCAAGTAAAAAATGATTTTTGATTAACTTTCATAACTCAAGTGGCATATTTCCAATAATCAAATAAACACCACCTAGTGAATAATAGGCATTATGAAATGTACCAAAATTATCATAATATATGTCAAAAAAAACCTTCTTAATAGGCATTAGACGTGGTGGTAATGGTGAGATAGGTATATATTTATAAGGAGCTCTGTGCCTTTTGATAAGATCACGAATATGCTACCAACCATTAAAGCTATATAATATTTCAGTTACAAAATATTTATATTCTGCTAGCCTATTAAGATCCTTTAGCCAAACATTAATTGGAGTAATATTTTCAGATATAATCAAACATTCTTGCCCTTCAACAAGCCAAAATTCTATACTCATTCCATGTGTTTTTCTATTATTATTACGCAAGTATCCAGGAAGCCCATGATATAGAACAAGTGGATTAGCTCTGAGTACCGTATATTTCCGAAAATAAGCTATCTTTTTTGGCCAAAAAAGTGATACAAACATTATGAAGTAGCTTATTTTCGAGTAAAGTTTCGAAACAGTTGATTTTTATTATTTTTTTAAAATCTGAAAGTAGTTTCTATATATAAAAGTCAAAATTCTATTAAGTAAATCGAATAAAAGTTACTTAATAGAGGTTGTTCGGGACATAAAAATACACATATCTTAAAAGTTTGAAGCAAATCAGAGAACTTTTTACTAAGATGTTTTTGCATTTTATGTTCAAACATAAAATGCAAAAACATCTTAGTAAAAAGTTCTCTGATTTGCTTCAAACTTTTAGAATATGTGTATTTTTATGTCCCGAACAACCTCTATTAAGTAACTTTTATTCGATTTACTTAATAAAATTTTGACTTTTATATATAGAAACCACCTCTGGATTTTAAGAAATTATTAAGGGTAGCTTATTTTCAAAATAACAAATTTTTTTATGTTTCTTCTCCAAGAAAAAAGAGGGTAGCTTATTTTCGGCAATATACGGTAATTGCCTTTCATTAACTTTAATGATACTATGAACATGTGCAAACTTAATTGCTTTATTTTGATTATACTGAAAAAAGTTGTCTGCATGGTAAATAACTAGTTAATAATAATAATAATAATTAATTAATAAAATAAAACTAGGTATTATTATAATATTTGCAATATAATACATCAAGATTTTTTTTAAAAAAAATACTGACTATTATTTATGCAAAGTTTAGATTCTCCAAATAAAGGCAAGTCTTGCCAGAGTTCACTATGCCATAATTTACGCTTTTCATCACATATAATACCGGGGCCAAAATATAAATAAGGTGCAATTGTTGAATTATTAAGAATATATTCAATATAATCTGCCAGCATTATTAAATATGTAGATTTTGTTGGATTTGAGTTTGATAGTGTATGCTGCCTAGAAATTGGAACTGTATAACTTCAAACCTTAAGCAATGGAAGTCTATTTCTCTATTTGTAAAAACACCTTATATTTGCAATAATATGTTCAGACTAGAAGTCAGGATGTTTAAGAATTTTAGTAAGTTTTTCATAAGCAGTTGTAGAAATCATATACTCTGTAATCCATAAAAAAAGCATAGTAGATATAAAAGTTAGAAAATATGGTCCATATTCTCTATTAAACCCCTTAAAGGATTATGATCGGCTCTCAAATAGTTTGTATCCTTTGGTACTCTGCTCTATTTCTTTAGCAGTATTGTCATTATCTAAATTCGTCAAATCATTATCATTGTCTGAATTCGTCAAATTATTATCATTGTCTAAATTCGTCAAATCATTATCATTATCATGTAAATAGTTTTTATAGTTTTCCAAATTTTCTAAATTTATATTATCATACAAGTATTCCATCTTATTATTCTCCCAATTTACACTATCTAGAAAATATTTCTCTTCACTAATCTTCCAATCTACATCTTTATCTGATTCACTTGAGTATTGGTATGTCTCACTAGAATATTGATCTAGTTTATTTGATTTAT